TTTTAAAGTATTGACCATGTTTGTATATAATACAATAGTAGGTATAGTTAGACCACCAATCAAATTAAGATAAATATGCCATATTCGACTGTTTCATAAAATCCATGTCACTCTTGTTCATATAGTATGTAAGGATGACAAAGAAGTTTTTTGGTTGTTTAACTAATTATATTGCCAGACTCACACAAACAATATTAAACAATGAAAGAAAGTGGAAAGGCACGCTTTTGAACAAAATTGGAACTTTAAATCCGAGAATTTCACGCATGTAGCTGCTTGTAGAGATATGGGACGTAAATATCTTGAAAATAATCTTGTCTTCACCGGAACTACTTTTCAGTATGTTTACTACGTGACTCATGTCGCCTGCTTTTAAACAACTGCGTTGGAGTATATATACCCTCCTAGTTGATGTTAAATATCATTCACAATGTAGTAGATTCTTAGTCGTAAAATTTTACGAGCCGCTCCTAGGTGTTTATTCTAAACTTAGCAAAGTTGTAACGAGTATAGTATACTATTATTGTACACCTCTTTCTAATGTGTTTTAGAAATCGCCAATCGTGTTTCAGATTAGTTATATAGGGTGATTCAGAACTTATCAAAAAAAAAAATTCTGGATGTACAGAGGCCCTTACAAAAACAATTTTGTAAAGAAAGAACCAGAAAGGTCAGTTCGAAATTGATTTAAAAATACACTTCTGTACGGCACTGGAAACTGGTCCACTGTAAAACCTGACCGCGCACAATGCGACCGGTATGGTGGCGTGATAAAAACGGACAAAAACTTTCGCAAGGAAAGAAATATGTAAATAGAATTTTATCGCACCTATTTTATATCGGCAAATTCAAATGCTTTTGCCTTTATTAATTATTAATAAAATTAATTTGTGTTTTTAAATAATAAAATCATTTGACATACCCGATACTGCAACAGCAATTGTTCAAAATTTTATCCACTCACGTGTAAACACATTTGGGTCCGTCTTACTCACTTTCTACGAACTAACACAAATGATGTCTTGCTTCACCATAACACAAATACTTCACCATAATACAAATGTTGTCTTGCTTCACCATAAATTAAAACGATATCCATCAACTCTGAGTTGCTATACACGCAAGCCATTTTTGACACTAACTACTAAAAAACTGATGTAAATACCACAGATAACAGGTAAAAACTACCGCAACGACGGATTTCAGTATTAGGAGTCACATGGCTCTCCACGCGTATTGCGAATGACGCTAGAGACTACAGTTGTCCAGCTATGTAGTGGTTTAATGTGCTATAACTTCAATAATTTTTTTCTCAGAAACTATAAGGATTTTACAAAATTTTTTTTTACAATATTGACTCCATTTCTCATGCCGCATCTATTCCCAAATTTTTTTGGATAAGTTGTGAATCACCCTGTATATGGTGAGTCAGAAAGAATGGGTCAACGCTAAGCTTTAAACTTTTAAATGCAAATAACTCAGAAACCGATTAAAGTTAGGCGACTTAAACAAGAGTACATTTTTTATGCAGAATTGAACGTTCTTTTCGATTTTTAACTTTTTTTAAGCATAGCTCAGCAGATAAAAAAATACGTTTATCTAAATAATACCTACGGTGAAACTAGCGCCCTATATGAGCAATGTGAAAATAAGCTTCAAATTCGTAATTCTCACACCAATAAACCCAACACTACCTAGTTTCAGAGTCATGCTATCAAAACTTCCTCAATTACTGAGAAATTTCAGAATAAAATTTAAACCTTGAACAGGGTGTTCAAGGTGACATTCGTATGATTAGCTCAAACATAATATTTTGGTGTTTAGTATCTCCAGCTTAGTGTTGACCCATTCTCTCTGACTCACCCTGTATACCCTTTTTAAAATAAATAAAGTGACATTTTAAAAACATCTGATTTTCCTCAAAATATCTACCGACAAAAAATATAACAAAAAAAAGAACAAAAGACGGTCCAAAACCCTATATCAAATATCAGAAATAACAAGAAAGGCAGGAAATAATTTTTTTTTTTGAAAGCCCGTAACTTTAAAATAAACAAAATTATATTAAGACAACTTGGTCTAAATTGGTACTCTTGAAGTATGGGTACGTTTCATATACAGGGTGTATATGAAACACTAAAAATAAAAAAAAAATTAAAAAAAATGAGTTCCTTTATTTCAATTTGATAATATTAACATTTTAAGTTCTCTGAAGAGATAAAAAAGTTTTCGTCAGCTTTTGTTTCAACACATTGCTCTCTGATGAAAAAATATAAACTTCCATGTTTAAATTTTCCTGGATTTGAAAAAGAAAAATATTTATGTTAAAGGATTTTTTGATATCATTTTACTTGTGCAGCCAGGTGAGGAAGGAAAGGATAAAAAAATAATCAATCCCAACTTATCAAGAAACATATTTTTTATTATATCAGTCTTTTTTCCTTTTGAATAAATAATTTACGGAAATAAAATTTCTTCATTTAGTTAATAAATAAACTTGATAGAGATAGAATTGTGCTTCATTCAAGATTATGATTGGTATTATACGGTAAATTAGAGGTAGATGAGATGACAGTAAGGGAGGTGTATTGTTAAAAAACATACGTAAAAACTTACTAGATAGCGGGAATTACTTGACAATAATACATTAGTATGCTTCCAATATTACCTAAGAGAATGATAGCATGATTAATATGTTAAATAATGTTGATTTGGTTGATTAGTTCATTATTTCAAAATTCATTAATTCCATTTCAGAAGACTACTAAACAGTAGTAAAATGCTTGTTCTAATATACAATAATTATTTCTGTAAATAATACTCTGAAGAAATTTCAAATAACACTTTTTCACTATATTTCAAGATCTGTGTTATGAATATCCAGTTTGTCAGTAATTAAAAAACTTTAAACATAACAGATAAAATTATTGAAGTAACTAATTTTATACTTTAAAAACTGAATGTCCTGAAAAGTAAAAGAAAAATAAAAACATCTATCCCAGAATCATGCATAAACTTGAACCTATGAAGACGATGTCTTGCTTTTATCTGCGGGAGATCGGTTTGCGCGCTTTGCGAACCCAACGACAGTTCGCTTTGGATTCAGACTGCACTTCCAGTCCAGATTCCAGAGTTTATAATAAGATCTCATCTCTTTAGCAGACTACGGTTTTTTTATAAGTGCCGAAGAAATTCTAAAATAGTCTGGTTCAACGCTCCTAGTTTTAATACCTACGTCTCCGTCTTTTAAATAAGTATCTATTTTTGTGTGTAAAAATTAATGACTGTAGTGCATTACATTGCAGGTTTATTTATGTTGGGCGCACGCTGAGTATTAAAAAAAGACGTAATTTCTCCTCGGGATCACGTGGAACTATTTTTGTAATTCAACCAGCGCCTTAATTTAGGGGTATTTAAGGTGCCTTCCAAAATTTCCAATTTATTTTTGTCCAGTTATAAATCTCAAATAAAAAAATTAATAAAAATAAGATCCATCGCAAAAATTCAAAATATTCAAATAATGTAAATAATTTCAGTTGTTAGGTATCTTAATTATGTGAATAGTGGGAATTTGTGAAGTTTTTGAAAACCCATGAAGTAAATTTACACTGAGGAAAATTTGTTAATGCCGATCATTTACTTGTATTAGGCGAATTTAAAATTTTGGATATGATGATTTAGGCATTCATTTGAACGAAAATACTAAATATTGTTATAAAAAATAATTTAGGCTGAAAAATAATGTTTAGCTAAAATTAATTAAACTTTTTGTCGTGTTCAATAAAACATTTTTTTGTTGAAAAACATAATTAATTGGTATACATCCATTTGTATAATTATTGGAAAAATTACCTTAATTACCACTATTAAATACACTTTTTATTTATTTTTTTGTTTATTTACTATAAAAAATGTAAGGGAATATATTTTATAGGCATGGATATAGGTTTTTAGAGAAAAAAGGAAAACATATAAACATATTTTTGCAACTTTTAATGAGAAGAAAATTAATTGGGTTATATTTAATATATAGGGTGTTTCTGAAATGGGTAGTAGGGGGCACGAACATAAACAACGTTTTCTGCACAACCAACGTGAGGATTTGCATCACACCAATAGTGAATGTTGTGAAAATTTAGTAGATATGCTGTCTCTAGTAAAATGATTCCGATACCCATTTCAGCTAATGGACATTCTTAACTCACACTATGCATGCACTGTAATGGCCGATGCTATTCTACTCCACATACTCCGTTTGTCTGAAGTTATGCGAATCATTTCAATCATTAATATTTCATGTTTATGACTTCAATTTCTTACAATATACTCGAATATATTTTTATAACATTTGGATAGGCACTAATATTCTCTAAAAAATTATTAAAATATTTAGAGTGAAGTGATGTGAAAATAAAATACAATACAATCTCCATAATTATATTAATTCCGGTATGCAACAGTACATATTTCCATTTTAATATTATGTTAAATATTCTGTTTTTTTTATTTTTTACTTTGTAGGCTCTTAAAATATGTTACAGGTCTTAAACAATTATTTCCGGCCTTTAAAAAACACACATTTATATTTGACCCCAAACCGTGTTCTTGGCAAATTTTTTCCAGTTAGCATCACCCCTTTTGCTGAAAAACTTATATTTTACACGAGACCAATATATTTTTTTATCATCTAGAAAGCTATGAAAAAGTGAGTTATACCCACTTTTTTGTGACTAAATATGTCATTAATAGACAAAAATGTGTACCAAAATTGGTAAGGAATCACAATTGATTTGAATTTTTTGTGTTAATTTTGTCCAAAGAACACCATGTAGAACTTGTAGAAGTCAAATTAAGGAAAACCCTATTATATTAAATAAGGTTACCACTTGTATCTGATAGGGTGTTCAGTATGCTGAATGACTAATCTTGTTAATTGGTATAAGTTGTCTTATTAAGCTTGTGTGTAGGTGGCAATGACAATAAACTTTCTTTTGTTTCAGTTTTGGGAGGTTATCTCTGCGGAACATGGAATTGACCCCAGCGGAATATACACAGGAGAAAGTGACCTGCAACTAGAACGAATCAATGTTTATTACAATGAGGCTTCAGGTAATGATAATTCTGGGCGAATTATTTATTTAAAAATTATTTAATCAATAATGTTTGAGTAAACAAATGGTTGTCAAGTTAGACCAATATAATAATACATTAGTTAATGGCTTTGAATGTATAGTGTTTAGAGTGATTTAGCTTTTGGGTTTATTCAAGTAGATTATTCTTTAACATTAGATAGGTTCTTTAATTTTATATGAAGAGCAATTTCTGATTCTGTTCTTTGTTTTCAAAACTAGGTATATTATTATTTTCGGACACATCTGTAAGAATTTATTTTGAGCAATAAGAACAAGTGAATGTTTATTGAGATTGTTATTTAACGTTTATTATTATTAATCTTGAGACCATAATTTGATATCTGGGTCATATATACCTCAACCTAAAATTTTCGTATTACAGGATGTCTAAATTTTTTAAGAAAATTACAAATACAGATATATCTTCAAATGCATTTGACGTAGAATAATAGGCATTTGACGTAGAATAATAAAAAATATCGAAAAGTAAAAATTGATTGAATTTGTATGCAATTATCTTAATCGGTGGCGGAAATTCCGGGAGATTGGAACCCTTATTGAAAATCTTTGGACACCACTGAATATTTTGAACAATAAATTCATTTTATTGCTTATTTGTGTCAGAAAAAAATACCTCTTCCATTTTGTTCATAGAACGAGTAATTCTCGGGTTATAAAATTTTTAGTTTTAAATAAGCTGTTAAATAAATTAAAAAAAATCTAAAACTGCTAGTTTCATAAAAACCATTTATAAATTTTTTTGTTTCAACTATAATAATTAAACATATATTGCCGTGAAAATTTAAAATTTGCTGAAGCAAGGGGTAAATTTGTACTGAATTTTATGGACTTTTAATGATTACCTACATCGTATTTAAAAATATATTTGCAATAAACAATTTTTATACAATTTCTTTTTCGGGAACGAATGAATAGTTTTGGAAATATTTTAAATTTATTGATTCTGTTAAGTTAAAACCATAATACTTAATTCGAAAATCATCCGTTTTTTCACCTCGCTAACGAAGAAATTTTGAATTAAGATATTAACCCGTTGTCCAAAAAATAAGGTGAATTTGTTATCCTGTCCTGTCGGCAAAATATTTTTGTACGGCATTTCTAAAGTATATAGGTTATACAAAAAAAATTAACCTCAACCTAATGCCGTACAAAAATAGCAATATCGGAAGCCAGGAAAATTTTTGATTTTCCGAAAATTACGCATGTTTTGGTGATTTATTACGGCATTTATACTGCAAGTTTCGGATCGATACATAGATAAATTTTTAAGCGACGCCGTACGTATTTGCTGATACAGGGGTTAGGAATACAGGGTGCAACCCTCTATTTGTAAGTAGCGTATGGGGGTGATTTGAACCAACATCAAATTCACTAATTTTAATTCTATTTTATAAAATAATGACATTTTTGGCCATGCCGTACATTTTTCATGAAACATGCTTACTATAGGAAAATTAATTTCCCTCTGAAAAGTAAGATTTCACGGTGAAAAATTTTTGTACGGCATTAATATATTTTGTTAATACT